CAACTCTTGTACTGAGAGTGGAGCAGAATTGTAAATTGACTATGACTAGGTCATTACTTTTCTTATAACCTGTGGACTTCCCTTGGGCTTTCTTCATTGCAATACAGAATGTCTCTGTGAGTGACAAACTTCTGACAGCACTGGAGCCTTGCATGACCTCTGCTAGCCACTGCACAGGCAGAAATGACTAATGAAGGGTGAGGTCAAATGGCAGCCTGAGCACCGAAGTGAAGCCTTCAGGCAGGGGCAATCTGCCACCACCTTCCCTTGCTGCTGCATCTCCTGGGACTTGTTATCTTGCTTGTCTTGCAACAAAGAAATCCAGCAACTGATACTTGAAAAATGACAATGCATGCATGGTATACATTGCAGAATTGTTGGTAACAGGAAAAGGTTTGGGAGTAATGCTTGGAAAAATGCCATGAGTAAGTACTTTAGATTCTAATGTGCAAAGATCTTACCATTGTCCACCATTCACCTGAGAATAGTAACCTGTGTATAAAAAAATGAGGAAACATGAGAAAGTGCTATGTCGGCGTCTTGTAGAGCAGGAGACTCAGTGCCTGGGGACAGGAATGGAAGATTCTTCACCATCTGATTTTCATAACTTTTGCATTTTGAATGATCGGTGTGTCTTACCTTTTCCAATACACACATCCACATGTAATTGTCACACATAATATTTTATTTTATTCATATGTGCATACAATGTTTGGGTCATTTCTCCCCCCTGCCCCCACTCCCTCCCTTACCACCCACTCCTCCCCCTCCCTCTCCCCCCAACACCCTCGATACCCGGGAGGAACTATTTTGCCCTTATTTCTAGTTTTGTTGTAGAGAGAGTATAAGCAATAATAGGAAGGAACAAGGGTTTTTGCTGGTTGAGATAAGGATAGCTATACAGGGCATTGACTCACATTGATTTCCTGTGCGTGGGTGTTACCTTCTAGGTTAATTCTTTTTGATCTAACCTTTTCTCTAGTACCTGTTCCCCTTTTCCTATTGGCCTCAGTTGCTTTAAGGTATCTGCTTTAGTTTCTCTGCATTAAGGGCAACAGATGCTATCTAGTTTTTTAGGTGTCTTACCTATCCTCATATCTCCCTTGTGTGCTCTCACTTTTATCTTATGATCAAAGTCCAATCACCTTGTTCACGCATAGTATTTTAGAAATAACTTATTATTGTAGGAAAATACACACTTATTTTAATCATTTGTAAATGTACAATTTCATGACATTAAATACATCTGTGATGCTGTGCACCTGTCACCATTGTCTTTATGACAAAGTACTGTCATCATTCCCACCAAGATCTCTGTACCTGTTAAATGACACATTCTTGTTCCCCCTCCCTCTAACCCCAGTAACCTCTGTTCCACTTTCTCTGCAAATTTGCCTATTCTAGGACTTCAAGTAAGTGGAATCATACAATGTTTGTGCTTCTGTGTCTGGCTTACGTCAGCATTTCACATGATTTTTTTTTCCCTGAAAATACCTATCAGTTGGATAAATAAAGTTATAAAAGTCGAAAAGTCTTTAGAAACAGAACAGATCTTGTGAAATCTGTGGACATGCCTTGGACAAGGAGGCCATGTCTCTGATGTTTCTTAGAAACCCCACTGTAACCTGAAAAAGGTTAACTCCTGGGTCAGGGATGCGGCTCAATGGTACAGCATTTATTTAGCATATGTAAGGCCCTAGGTTCATCCTAGCACTAATGGGAGGAGAAAGTGTCAACTAGCCAGGCTGGTGAGCAGTCCTGTAACTTGTAACACCACTCAAGAGACTGAGGCAGGAGGATTGTAAGCTTAAGGCCAGCATGAGTTACATCCAGAGAGCTTGTCTCAAAAAAAACAAAATAACAACTACAAAACAGTTAACTATTGGCTCTGTGTGTTAATGCTCCCTTACTCTCAGAAAATAAAGTCTAAGAGCCATCATTCCCAAAAGCATTGGCTCATTTGGGCTTCATAATCAGGGCCTGTAGAGGTCTTCAAAGGGTTCATGGATCTTTTGAAATGGTGTGAAAATATGTTATGTGTTGTCTCTCTGACGTCCTTTTGTGTCCAAGACTTTCAAGATGGTCCAAAAAGGTTATGTGCCATTGCTAAGTAGGAAAATTAGTGCTGCCCACCCCCATGAAGCATACTTAAAAGCCCTTTGTTCATCCACTAGTTTGTCTAAGTATATGATTGATGAGCCCATACCACACCAAAAGATAGGGGTCGGACCTGGGTCTTACTTAAAAATCTGTGACTTAAAACAAATGCTCCTTACAACTGCCATGTTTAAAGAAAATCAAATGGCTTATTTGACTTGGTAGTCACAGAAAAGACCTAGTGTCTGGTCCATCAGTACAAAGTTGTCCTAGAGGGAGGCTGAGGGGTTCTCTATTCACTTCATAAATACTGAGCACCCATTGTATGTCTAAGGGTTCAGGACACAAAAGTAAATGAAACTATGTCTCTATCCTTGTGGGACTTTCATCCTATTTATAGGATTTAAATCATAAAGGAGTGAAAAACAGAAAGTACACTTCTCAGACAATTCAGTGGAATTGGCTAGATAGTGCCTGGAGATTTCACCTGTAGATAGGATGCTTGGGGAACTCCTTTCTGGACAGATGGTTTCCAAGCTGAATCTTTCCTTTTTTGAAATAGGATCTCTTTATGTAGACTAGCCTGGCCTCAAACTCATGATTCTCCTGCCTTAGCCTCCTGAATGCTAGGATTACAGACATAGAACCACCATGCCTGGCTAATTTGTTGAGATGGGATCTAACCTTTTGCCTGGGCTAGCCTCAGCTAAGGTTCTCCAGTCTCTGCCTCCTGAGTAGCTATAATTACATGCTTGAGTCACATCATTGGTGCATTTTAACCATACTCAGTAGGTCTACATATAGAGAGGAATTTTGACTCAAGATGAATCACTACAAGAACCTCTCCCATATCTAATTTAGGTGTGATCTAGATAGAGTTTTTGGACTTTGAGTTGATACTGAAATAGGATGAGACTGTGGGGACCAAAGGATGAATGAATTTTTGTTTTGAATATGGGATGGACATGGCCCACTGGGGACATAAAGGAGAGCCTCCCTTCTGCCCCGCAAAGACAGCAGCAACATCTAATCCCTATAACCTATGATTAACTTCTGTGGCAAGATGGAGGTGATGAAGGGTACAACCTTGAGGGGCTGGCGGAGTGGCTCAAGCAGTAAGAGCACCTGGCTAGCAAGTGTGAGGCCCTGAGTTCAAACCCCCCTACAAAAGAAAAGGATTACAACCCTGAAATGGAATAGCAAAGGGAAGTCAAGAGCAATGAGTGACAAGATAGACTATACCTGCCCCTGGCATTGAGGAGATAGAGGAAGGGGGCAGAAGGAAGAGACTGGGAAAACCCAAAACCTACAGATCCCACCCAGAACCTGCAGGAAGGATCAAAGCCCTGTAAAACTTTTGTTTTGCACTGTAAAATTGTCAGACTTAACTATAGAGCTATAGCTAACAAATCTGCTTTGCTTTAAGCTGCCAACTTTGTGGCAATATGTGTATTATAGTTGTAGTCCCAAGCCAACAATATCTGTTCACTAGGCTTGTTTTTCAGAACTAAGTTTGTGAGGTGGTCCAAACAACTTATAACAACTTACTTGTAGTAAGCACTTAATAACTGTCAATAAGTGTTGAAAGGAAGCTAAGATGTAAATAATTCTGAGATGATATAAACATAATCAGTGACCTATCTAGAATGACAGTTATTCCCAAGAAAATGACCTAAGCCAGGTCACATGTGGGCTCTCCAGGTAACGTCAACAAGGGAAACAGGTTAGTAGGGACAGCAGCAGAATGGAGGGTTGGCCCCTTTAAGGGCAAACTCTAGCCTTACTAACTGTCCAGTGAGGTTTGCATTACTGGATACTTTGAATTTTCAAGAAGCTACAAGTCTTCACCTTCTGCAAAATCTTCAGTTTGTAAATGCTAACAGTCAATTTACATTTAAACATATACAGACACCAGTTACACAACTTTCAGGCAAAACGGCTCTTGGGTTGTTATCTCTGGCCAATTAGGGAAAACACATGAAGCCCCAAAAGGTAAGTTGCTTTTGAACCTCACTCTCAGGTCATCAGAGGTGTCTTCTGGACTGGAGTGTGGCTAAGGGTAGAGTGTTTGCCTACCACGCAAGAGGCCCTGGCTCTCTAGTGCCACAAGCAAAAATGAACAAGAAACAAAAAACCCAAAGTACTAAAAGCATCTTTCTCATTGCTTTTGGTAATCTATCAAAATCTAAGACACTGGCTTATATGAAGATTTTACCATATTAATCAGAAAGACAGCTATCAATTGTGTTCAAATCCAGTTTTATTAAAATTATTTGGTTATTTTGGTAACAGTAAAAAAGTCTTTGACTACGACCATGGGGCATATCACACATGAGTTTATGTTTTGGTTGGAAGGTTTGGGTACATGTATATTTCTAGAGCCTCTGCCCTTCAATTCATTGCCAAATGACAAATTGCCTTAAGTTTTTCTATTTGTCATAGCAAAGAAATGTACAAAATAAGGTTGAAAAAATAAAATCCACAGATTCAAAAAATTCTCTTCAAATATTAAGAACATACAAAGCATATTAAAGAACTGTACGTTTAGTCCCCCAAGTATCAAAACAGGCATTTGATGTCTGTGTTGCTCATTTTTACTTATTGCTAGTTATGTTTCATTGAAATTCCATCATAGTTTCAATGGAATCAGAGGACAGAAGAACCGGGGAGCACTTGATTTGGACTTTAAAAATCACAGGATGTTTTTCCTTAGTGGGATTTTTTTGCATAGCTCAGGGCACTGTTTGCTTCTTATCGCCTTATCATTAGCGATACTGCCTTGCAGTAGATCTAAGTATTGGCTTATTTAAGTGTATTAATTAATGGAGAGAAAATGGCAGAAGGCCTTCCTGTCCAACGCAAACAACGGTCAGCCAACCTGAAAGCCACAGGGTTCGTGCTCTTTAGTTGTTCTCCAGTGAACCTGAAGTTGGCTGTAAGAAAAAAAAGAAAAGAATCTTGACACAAGCATTGTGGCTTCTAAGTAGTTTTGTTTTTCTAGCTGTGTATGAAAATTTGACCATGGCCATGGAGCCTTGTTGTTTTGTTCCTGTGATACGCATATCTCTTCGAGTTCAATGTGGGAAACAGCAACACAGCTTTGTTTGAGAAAATGAAGTTTTCACAACTTGTGAAAATTCTGCCCTGTATTTTCCTAAGATTCATGGATTACTTACTTTCATGCACTATTTCTAGACATTCCACTTTTAAACAAAGACCATTCCTCTCCACTCCTGACCACTTTATTTCACCAGAGGCAGAAGACTGCCGTAACATATTAGGGTTGGCTGCCTTGATTTTAGGTAGAAATGCTTGTTCTTCAAGAAGGAACATATTAGTACAGTCTATTCTCATTTATTTGTGATCTAAATAAATATCGGATCTGAAGGAACAAGCAAATTTGGCAACAAAGCAGACACATTTCTTTACTTACATCAACATAATAGAGCCCCAACTTTACAAACTTCATAACTTTGCAATTTATTAATGTTGTCCCAGAAAATCAGAACCAGGACAGTAAGTCATAGCAGCAGGAATTATATCAATTAACAAGAGTTTTCACCTTACTTCCCAAATAAATGGAGAAAACACTTTCTTTAGGAAGAGCACATAGCTTGAAATTTCTCAATAAGCAATTCTATACATCGAACTTAATTTTTTTATACTGTCTCCAAAGCTTAAGAAATAATTCATATATACCAGGACTTCCTCCTGAGTTAAGGTTCATTTCATCCCTCAAGTCAAGAACATTTAAGCCTTAAGATATTCAAGTAATATTTAGAACAACAAAAGCAATACATAGGATGGAACATTGCCAACTCAGAAGTCACTTAAATCCCAGAGAGAGAAATTATACTTACAAATGGAGTCCTGATTCCAAACTTGCTGTGGAATGTCATGGTGACTTTGTTTTTGTGTCCTGTTCTTTGATCAAAGGCGTGGCACGTATCAAAAGGTGGACTATACAGGTGAAGGCTCACAGCGGGCTCTGTGTGGCTGATGTTTTCCACTCGATGTAGGCCAATAGAATCTGAACAATGCCAAATGGAAGAAAGATGAAGGAGTTTTGAAGATTCCTGAAGGGCAAGAAAATTTTATGGCAGGGTGCCAGTGCTTCAGGCCTGTAATCCTAGCTACTCAGGAGGCAGCGATCAGGAGATTGCAGTTCAAATCTAGCCCCGGGCAAATAGTTTGCAAGGCCCTATCTTGAAAATACCCAATACAAAAGGGCTGAAGACATGGTTCAAGGGGTAGAGCACCTGCTTAGCAAGTGTGAGGCCCTGAGTTCAAACCCCAGTATCACACAAAAAAATACTTTTTTATGTTCTTGAATTAATACTGATATGGAATTAGTAAAAATTAGTTGGAATTTAAACTGCTAGTGAAAGATGGTGACATGTGTGTACTAACCTCTGCTCCTTCATGACACTCCCTCCCATTGCAGTAAAACAATAAAAAGTCATCAACAGTGAAAACAGGAAAAGAGGAAACACTAATAAAAACTTGAAAGCTCAAAAGATGAATGGCTTTGCAAAGGAGAGAAAGCTGAATACTAAGCCACTCCTAGGGACAGCCAAGAAATATCCTGATTTAGCTTGGAAATCAGAAGTACCAGGTACTTCTAGTACCTGGTACTAGAAATAGGTGATCATAGCTTAGTAGAAACCAGCTGGCTGGAAGCTTAGTTAGGTAGCAGAATCTCAAATCCTGTCCACCATGCTCCCACCTTTTTCCCTCAGCAGAAGAGTAAGATCTATTCTCTGCAAAGATTACACTAAGTGAACTCAGGTCTGGTGGACACCAGGTAAAAACAGATGAATTAAGTAAAAACATCCATTTTGAAATGTAAGATTCCCTTTTTCCTTTACCACTTAGCTGCCACACAGATTTTTTTCCTCTAGGCAGGAGAGGGGAAGCAGCTTCTCCAAGGAATTTTATCAGCTTAAAAAAAAAGCCCTGAAGATATTGTCATTGGAATTCCTCTCCAAACTATCACAGAGTTGACAAGCCCAATCCTGTGTTCAGAGCTAGTAAGCAATGTTTGGCCCTGGTTTTTATACAATAGTTCATTGCCAAGGTCACCAGACATTTGAGCTAGGCTCTAGGACAAGACACAAAGGCAGAACAACTACTTGAACAGAGGCTACTCAGAAGACTTTAAAATGTCTATCATTAGTGTCACCAGAGAAATAAAATGCCATACAAGGGACCAGAAAGTCAAGTGTTTAGAAATAACATCCTGAATAGAAGGGTTAGTAAGAAAAGGAGAGACTCAAAGGACAAAGGCAGAAAAATGGGAAAGAAAAAAAACTTAAGAGTGATAGTTCAGAAATACAACAAGGAAATAAAACCTAGGAATATTGCCTTGGATTGAAGGACACAAATGTCCAGACTGAAAGAACCCAGGAATCCAGCACAAGGAATCGTCATCTAGGGGAATATGTAATCATGAAATCTCAGAGCACAGGGGACAGAGTGAGGAACCAAAAGAAAAGACTCCAAACATTTGTAGAAAGATTTAAAAAATAGATTTCAAAGAAAGATTTGAGTCTGAATGCCAAGACAAGAACCCTGGAAATTAAAAGACACAGTTCTGAAGGACAATGGTTGCCAGGTCACACCCCATATCCAACTAAACTACCAGTCAAGTCATAAGAGTTGACTACACAATACAGATTTTTAGGTAGGTAGGTCTCAAAAATTTACCATCCATGACGACCACACTCGGCTTCCATGACTCCTTTCTCATAGAGCTTTTGGAAGATACACTCACCAAAATTAGGGTTTAAACCAAGAACAAAGAAAAGAACTCAGTAAACAGGGATCACAAACAGGAGAGAGCCAAGGGAAGGCTGGGATAGTATGAGGGGAATCTCAGGTTGACAGCCCTTGTATACAGAATCAACCAATCTGTACAGAAGAAGTCAAAAGGCCTAGAGAGAAATATCTTCAAGAAGATTAGAAACCAAAACCAAAACCAATATGATCTAGCACCAAGAGTGCACACCATAAAGAACAAAGCCTAGAAGCAGAAGACGTGGGTTCTAATCCTAGCTTGAGTGACTGCCTTGGCTGCCTTTAACAAGTCTCAACTTTGAGCATCTTCAGTATTCCTTATTTCTAAAACTGGCACCCAATTCTCAGATCTGCAAACATTTCGATTCTATAGCTTACTGCTTTTACAGTACACTTGCTCGAGCACAATTTTCAATATTCTTCAGATCTGAAGAATAATTTTTTATTTCTCCACTTGGAGGTAAATAAACCATCCAATTCATGATGGGCAGTCCCGCAAAGATCCTGCAATAACAAGTCACTGATGTTTCAGAGAAACCTAAGGTTGTCTATGAACATAACACCCTGAATGTGCCTGATCTCATCTGATCTTGGAAGCTAAGCAGGTTAGGCCTGGTTAGTACTTGGATGGGAGACAACTGAGGTTCATGCATCTATTTGCTGTTAATAATCCCAGCATCATCCTCTTTATATTTTGATCTCTGCCTCCTTTTCCCTTATGTTCGTGCTGTGCTCTTTGTCTTGGGCTTTTTTTGGTGATATTGATGTTGGCCCTATGGACCTTTTGCCAACTGCAGCAGGTAACTTGGTCTTCTTGCCCCAATTCTCCCCTCCTCTCCACCCTGTGCTGTATACAGCTACCAAACTGATAAAGACACTCTCAGTTACATCTCTGCTGACTAAAGAAAACTCATACTTTCAGCTGGTCTTACTGCCTCCTGTCCACCATCCCCACCCCCTATCCTGAAATATCCATTTTTTGTGAGGACTGTACTCTGATTCACACCCTTCCCTACACTTGAACACTGCCCCTCTCTGCCCTTTATCTTTCATCTGTAAAATCAGAGGTTGAAAACTTGTGGCTTTTAAGTTTTGGGGGCAATAAGTCTACAGAAATATTTGGTTTATCCCACCCAGTATTTTACATTGGCAAAAAGTCACATAAAAACCAGCATTTCCAACTTCAATGGAAAAAGAAATCAGGGTCATATTGTCTCATGTGAGCTGAGTACCACTGCTGGGCTTAGTGTGGCCTGCCTCCTCCATTCATCGGGTCGGCCACAGCTTCATCCCCAGCCTGCATCACTCCTCACCTTCCCTGCTCGGCTTGTGTCGAGAAGATCCTTGAAAAAGCTTACCTATTTTTCACAATTCAATCTCCTTTCTTAAAGTCCGACACCAACTGAAAGTAATTATTCTGAAAGCTTTGGTACGGGCAGCAAAGTTGTTCTTGTAAATCTGGTATGTGTTTTGTATAGTAACCCTCAAATATTTGAGAAAATGCATTTTGAGTTTCCTACTAAACAGGAAACGAATGACTTTATGTTATATGACTGGAGGGAAAAAATATTCCCATACAATCTGACCATTATAAGTCACTTGCATTCCTAAAGTAACCATCTAACAGATTTAGGCCAAGAAATCCAGCCAATGCTAGACCTTAAAGTATATTAAGGAAGAAATAGATTTGCCAGAAAAATTCTGTAATACTTTATTTAATGTAAGTAGGTTAGCATCTTGATTAAAACCATGTGTTTGGATCAAACTATTTATTGGGTTTGATTGTGACCTTGGACAAGTTATTTAATCTTCCTATGTGTTGGCACCTTATCTGTAAATGAAAATAGAATGTATTTATCTCATATGTTTTGGAAAGTTTCTATTCCTTTTAGGAATATAGAAGTTAAGTCACTGCCTCTCCTGGGAAGCATTTGGATGTCCCACAAAACCTTCAGGGGAAAGCAGGAATTCTTTATAAGATATCTATAAATCACTGCCCAGTAACATACTTTGTGAAATTTCCCTTGAGAAAAGTCTTTTAGGTATGCTGTATGCATTTTAGAAAAAAAAATAGGGAGTAGCTAGTGTTCTTAATCACTTCCAGAATATTCTCTTACATTTTTCTAACCGTATGATTATATTACTTCCAGCTGCATCCAACTCTTTGTTGAAAGACTCTATTTAATGTAAATTCATATTCCATTCTCACTATTCTAAGTTTTGGCAAATAAATAACTTTTTAATGGACGATAATCTGTATGCATATAAAATGATTCCAGCCCAAATGCAAAGACTTAAAAAACAAAACCCATTGTGTTTAGGTCATACCCCAAGTATTTTTCCTCATGACTCCAGGCAGTTTCCACTGCTCATGTGCAAGCCACTAGGGTTTCAAATAACAGTTCAGACCTTCCCACTTTCCCTGGGCAAGGGGGCGTGTTACCATTGATGTAGGCACACTGGTTTTCCCTCAGAGTTCTTTCAGACTTCTTGATCATCTCATTGGATTTCTTGTCAGGCCAGGCAAATAAGGACTCTTTTAGGTTTCCTTGAAGCATCTTCAGGAAGCAGTGGGAGTCCGTGTGGTCATGAATGCTGCTATACATAAACAAAGTGACAATTGAACTCAGCAGGTGTCCCAGTACCCAGTCTGCTAGAGCTGATACCTATACACTGTCAAGAGGACATCTTCCAGGCCCAAATCCACGTTGACTGGACTTTAAAAATACCATCAATTTACAATTCAACAATGTTCAGGGCATTGTACTAAAATAATATATGATCCATATTAAGCTCTATAAGGGACATAATTTTGATGTATACCCCCTACTAAGGTGTATACAAAGGTACACACCTGTAATCCAGTCACTCCAGAGGCAGAGGCAGGAAAAATAAGAACTTGAGGCCACCAGTCTAGGCTATATAGTGAAACTCTGCCTCAAAAAAAAAAAAAAAAAAAAAAGAAAGAAAGAAAGAAGGACAAAAGAGCAGTAAATTTTGCAACACTGTTATAATACTAATTTGATATTAAAAACAAACTCAGCAAGCTGTTATCCTACCCAAAATACATCTTAATAACTCACTAAAGCTGAGCCAGAATTTGATTATTAAAGTACATTACAAGTGGTAGAATGCTTACGTGGCATGGGAGACCCTGGGTTCCATCCCCAGCACCAGGAAAAAAAAAAGGCGCATTAAAGAAATTTTTAAAAGAGTAAGTATGATCGTCTAACTGCACCACAGCGAGATCTCTGCACATTTTACCCAATGCAATTATTATTTTCCCTAGGCTTTTTCTCCTTCCTAGGGGGCTGGGGGGCATGAGTATGTGCTTGTATGCTATCCTAAAGTTATACAGTACAGTACACCCAGTGTCAACATTTTCTAGGTGTGGAGTAGCCTAGCTGTGACTACTTTCTAGTGTTGGTGGGAGAAAGCAAATTGCCTCTGAAGGAAGAAAGGATTATTCATATCATTTTTTTTTTTTTTGGTGGCACTGGGATTTGAATTTAGGGCCTCATGCTTGTTAGGCAGATGCTCTTACTGCTTGAGCCACTCTACCAACCGCCCCCCCCCCGCCCCCCGTCCCCTTTTTTGTGATGGGTTTTTGGGATAGGGTCTTGTGAACTATCTGCTCAGGACTGCTTGAACCTCTATCCTGATCTCTGCCTCCTGAGTAGCTAGGATTATAGGCATGAGGCTTGTGCATGTAATCTTAAGAGTAAATAGTATTTATGTAAATGAATACCAAATGCTGTAGGATTGATTAAGATATATGAACTTGTATGTGATTTTAGAATTTATTTCCTATGATAAATTCTATTAACCTATGTATGTGTGAGAAGAACTTGTTTCCTAAGTCCAGAGCCTCATCCTACCCCAGATAATCTGCTTTCAAAAAGTATTGCAGAGGTGGGAGCCAGTGGCTCCTATAATCCTAGTTACTCAGGAGGCAGAGATCAGGAGGATCTGGGTTTGAGGCCAGCCCTGGGGCAAATAGTTAACGAGATCCTATTTAGAAAATACCCCAAAATATCCCTTTTTTGAAGAGGCTGGTGGAGTTGCCCAAGTGGTAGAATGCCCTGCCTAGCAAACCTAAGGCCCTGAGTTCAAACCCCTGAACCACCAAATATATATATGGATTATGCTTCTATTTTTTTGTTTGTTTTTTAATTTTATTTTTGTGATACTGGGGTTTGAACTTCGGGCTTTGTGCTTTCTAGGCAGGCGCTCTACTAATTGAGACACTCCCCCACTGTTCCATTTTTTTTTTTAAACCATTCTCTAAAATGGAGAAAGATCTGTTTAAAAAGATAACAATATTCAGTTGGTCACAATACTGACAAATACACAACTAAAGAACAGAATCAACTTTAAAGAATCAGTACTACTTAAGTTGCCTTCTAGGTAGAGAAGCTGCACAATTAATTTGAAGTAGAAAGAACTTTTCTGAATTTGTGACATGTTTTTCAAGCCAGATTCTGCAGCTTTGCTCTTTGGTCCCACAACTGTTTACACACGTCAAATACCACAAAGGTCAGGTTTAAGCCCAATTAAATAAAAACTTTAACCCATAAAAGACAGAGAGGTTAAATGAAGGTGATTTCTTGCTCCCTTTGATTTACTATTTATTTTCAGGATTGGTTCTGACATATATGGTATATGTCTGAACTCCATACTAAATTCTCATGGGACGTTTTGTTGGGAATTAGGGGACAAGATGAATACATAATTCTAAATTGTGATTTCTAGTCTTTGCAAAATCAGTACCTGGCCTGACATGGTATTTTGCATATTCTGGGCCAGGTGCACTAAGAAATACCTTGAACAGGGCTGAGGTTGGTTCAGTAGTAGAGCACTTGCCTAGCATGCATAAGGCCCTGGGTTCAATTCCTAGCACCACAAGGGAAAAGAAAAAATGGAAAGAAATATCTTGAATTGTTACATTACCTGCCATGTCCTTCACCCCAACACAGAATCATCAGGTTAAATTTCCCATTCCCTTGATCCACAAGATTGCGGGTATACCTAAAAAAAAAAAAAGAAAAGAAAAGAAAGAAAGAAAAAGAAGAAGAATGTATTCATAAGTTTGAATTAGATTGCTGAAACAAGTACTGGGAAAAATAAGTGTCACAAAGTGCCATTTATTTATGAATGCTAACATTTATACCTTTAGGCAGCTTTTTTTTTTTTTTTGAGGCACTGGGATTTGAACTCAGGGTTTCATGATTGCTAGGCAGACTCTCTTTATGGCTTCAGCCTCTCAAGCCAGCCCTTTTTGTGATGAGATTTTTTGAGATAGGATCTCAAAACTATTTGCCCAGGCTGGCTTCAAACAATGATCCTCCTGATTTCTGTCTTCTGAGTAGCTGGGATTACAAAACGTAAGCCACCAGCCAGGCTCTTTAGGCAGTGTTGTATGTGGCTTCCTGATTAGAATCCAGCACAAATGAAAAGTATTTTTCATAGGTGATGTTTAATCTTTCTTTGCTGATCCATGAAGGATGATAAATTCTGTATTTTGAATCACCACATTTACTGAGGTAGTGGCTCAGTTTTAATTAATTAACTGAGGTTCAGCTTTAATTAATAAGATAAAAGGAAAACCCGAACAAATCCATGTGTCTTCATGTTTACCAGTCTCAAACAGATAAAAAGTAACTTTCTCACTGAAGGAATTTGCAAAGTACATCACTGCTCTAGGGAAGAATGTCTATGGTTTTGGGCTCTTTTTCCTTACAGTAGCTAAAGTAGGACATGAGAAACAAGGTTTCACTAAATAGCAGTTCTAGAATGCTCTTTGTTTTACTTCTAAGCTCAGACACAAACCACATTGAAAAGCACCAAGAATGAGGAGTTTTCCACAAATAAGCTGGGGGCTGACCAAGTACCAGAACGATGAGGACATCAGGTTAGAATGCTAAACCCCTTACAATGAGAAGAAATCAATAATTGGCAAAAAGTAAACAAATAAATAAACCCAACATCCCAAGCAGAACAACTATCCTAAGTTGTGGGAGGACTCAACTTTAAAGTTGGTATTGATCCAAGGGGTACCACTGTCACCATCTCACTAGCAAAGTGTCATAATTATAGAATTCATTTTAGACTGTTTAAGGAGAGGACCATCTATACGCCTTTATTTGTAGTCTTGTTCACTTGGTCAGTCTGTTTACTCAAGTCCTGCATGCCCCTCCCCCAGGCTCAGGGCCAGTGCCTGCAGAGCCTGATCCTTGAGGGAGTTGCTTAGTAAGTACTTTTTAGCTATCAGTCTTTACTTTGTAGCTCTTTATGTCCTGGAGAGCGGCTGTCCACACAGCCTTTAACTCACCGTAAACTGAGCTTCTGTACCAGGATCCCTCTTCTCCCTCCACCAATCTCAGGGCCACCTCTTGCTTTGGGGGACTTCTTCCAGAGAACCTATTGTCTGGCCCACATTGGAACACACTGTGTGGAACATATTCTGCATTGGTTCTTCTGCATTGCCTCTTCTGTCCCCTAACTCCAAGGTTATAGATCAGACTCCTTCACTGTCTCTAAAATCATTGTAGAATTCATTTCTCTCTCGTCTATGAAAACTAATCAGCTACCCTGGACCAGCGTGTTCTAAAGATGGGTAGATGGTAGTCTACCTTGGTTGATTTCACTGGGGCAATACTCTTATCTAGTTAGATACATTACTGTGTGTCACACATACATCTGAAGGAAGTTGAGCTGTGGTTCAGAGTGTAGCTCTGGAAAACAAAGCTAATTTGAACCCTGGGAGAAGTAAGACCTCCTGCAGGTCACCCAGCCAACCACTTCCTTGCCTACCAGAGGCCAAGAATGTCACCTGTCTCATTCAGTGTAAAGTCACTGGAGAGTAGAATCTATAGCAAGGTCTCAATTATTTGGACCAAATGTAGCCACCATTTTAAAACTTGGCTCTGGTAGCATTACTGACATCCACAGCAGGATGTGATTAGGAACTGTGTCCACGGGAACCAAATGAAATTCCTAAAGCCACATTGGAAGTGCAAAACGGGATCTTATGTATGCTTTGCCTTTTCTTTTCCTGTCTTAGGCTCATCTCTTGCTAAAGCATTTAAAAATTTAGGATTTGCAATCCTAAAATATAGTTGAAAGGATTCTTGCCAAGAAAGGTACCGAATACCCTCTGTTAAGAAGAAGCAATTGAAAGAAACTATTTCCAAGGAAAACGCATTTCCTTCTATTCTTCAGCCTTCTCCTCTCCCCTGGTCTTGGCCTAACTAACTCGGACCCTCCCACCACCTCTCTGGGAGATCACATTTTACCTCTGGCTCCCCAGCCTTACCAGGACCCCTCACTTCCCACGTCGGGAAGCAGCACTGTTTTCAATACAGAACCCACGATTTGGGGGCCGAAAAAGCCTCAGAGTGCTTACTTTTCGAAACTCGATAGTGGCTTTGAATAAATCCGCTGTCCAGGAGGTTGGAATTGCTTAACTTGGTTTGGAAGAGTGAACAGGGAAAACTGAATAACAGCGGCTGACAAAATCAAGACCCTATCTGACATTTTTACATGAGTAAAAGTGCCTGTTGGGAGGCTCCTGGTTGCAGGCGACTTGAGATGGAGAACTAGATGGGAGAACGGTGTTCCAGCTATCACCCCTTTTCCTCGGTGGGGGATGTAACTCTTCCCAGGCGGCCTCCTCCGCTAGCCCAGCAAGTCAGCTCCTCCAGGCGGCTGACCGTTCCCCGCCTGGCTGCGGGGATCTCCCCGCACCTCGAGACCAGGGTGGGCGATGGCCCACAGGGGAGGACATTGCTCTTGAGGCTGGGTGCGGGAGGAGCGGTGGGCTGGAGGTGAAGGGCTTGTGGGTGAGGTGAGAACGAGAAACTTTTCGGCCTGGCTCGCTGGCGCTGGTCCTCCTGCTGGCCTCTGCGGACCCAGCTTTTGCAAGAGCACAGTGCCAGCGCCAGCAGAGGGAAGCGAGGGTGGGGGTGTGGGGAGACACGAGGGTGGGTGCGGGGAACACGAGCGTGGACAGGAGAGTAGATGTGAGGGACGCGAGGATGGGTGAGGGGTACACGAGGGTGGGCGCTCGGGTCGGTGCACTTGGCCTTGGGGCTCACCTGTACTGGTCGAACTTGGCATACAGGGCCCACTCGGCGGGGTTGCTTTCATAGGCTTCCAGGACAGCCTGAACCTCCTCTACGTTGACTTCGTCGCTGGCGAAGAGCTGGTGCAGGATGCGAATCAGATCGGCCAGTGTCCGCGGCTTGAGCACCGCGGTGTGCTCCATCCCGCGCAGCCGAGCTGGCGGCGCGTCTAGCTGCGGGCCGCTGGGCTGCGGAGACGGCGACAGCGGCTGGAGGAGGCAAAGGACTGTGGGGGCTGGGTGGTCAGCCACACACCCCAGGACTCGGGAGGGGACCCAGATACACAGACGCCCTCGCAGGTATCAAGATACCCCCCGCGGCAGAGGCGGACTCGGAGTCCCCGCACACCACCGAGGCTGCAGTCAGAACCAGATGTGCGGAGTTCGCCTGCCCGGGAGCTTTTTAAGCTTCTGGAGTCAGCCAGAATGTACCAACGGCTTTCAGGGGTGGAGTGGGGCGGAAAGCCACCCGGGAAAGGTGGCGGAGACGCGGAGGGCGTGCGGGTCAGACCAGCGCACACAGCCCCGCTGCCCGCGCGCCCTAAGCGCGCCCCAGGGTCCCTGTCCTGTCTCAGGTCCCCAAGTTTGCGGTGGGCTTTGCGCAACCTCCCCCCTTTCCCCACTTGAAAGGTGCATGCTGACCGCCCATCCCATCCCTTTTCCCAGCGCCACCTCCCTAGGCATGGTTTGCAACTCGAGATGCAGACAAAAGGGGTCTCGGGAGCTTTGGGGGGACGCTGCGGGAAGGGATGGAAAGGGGCCACTTCTTCCAAATAGCTCTAAAGAATTGTGAGGCGCTTGCAAAGGTTGAAGATGGGACTCCACTCCCAGACTAGAGAGAGACTCTTTTGTCCAATGAAACTGTCGTAATATGCCCCCAGACCAGGTGAAGATGAGATTTTTTTCCCCAACAAAATTAATGTACAGTAATGAATTGTAAGTACATTTTAACAAAGAAGACTTAACCTTTTAGTAAGACCAATTAGTGACACGATGGAAGGAAGGCCACGCATTCCAGAATCTTTTATTTTATTTTTTTAGTTTTTGAAGTACTGAGGCTTGAACTCAGGGCCACTTCACCAGCCTTTTTTTGTGCGTTGGGTATTTTCAAAGATAGGTTCTCACGAACTATTTGCCCAGGCTGGTTTTAAACTGCGATCCTTCTGATCTCTGCCTCCTGAGTAGCTAGGATTACAGGCATGAGCCACTGGTGCCCAGCCAGCAGCTTTGATTTTAAAGTCAAACCTCGCTTGAAATAATATACTAAGTGCAAAGAACCCAAGGCTTCAATTGTGGCGAGAATGGACTTTCTTTTTTTGGGCTGGTGGGGGTGGGGTGGTGGTTATGCAGTAATTTAAAGGATTGTAATGTGGTGTGTTTTGTTCTAGTCCTTCTATTCCAGGTGTTTGCTTGAAGGATCCTTCTGGGAACACGCACCAGGAAACACATTTCTATCTTGTGCATCACACCTAGTGTACATTGGGAGTACCACAAATCAAGTAGGCTTGAAAATTAGAAAAACGTGAAAGACAGGAAGTGAAATTATACCTTTCTTTTTTCTCATTGCAAATAGATCCAGGGAATAGTTTGGATTCCAGGTTAGATTTCTGGAAGACTGGTTTGGCTGTTTCTACACTTTGTTCTACACCATGTATATAAAGGCGTTTACTTGGGCCACTGTCTTATTTTAAAGATCCCTGGTTAATGTTGTCATGCTGTAAATATTCTAACAGTGCTATGGAAAAGGAATACAAGTAGAAAGCCCTTGTGGTGGGTTTTGCTGAGGAACCAACCTTTATGGGAATTTATCACAAAGATTTGGGGATTCAGTTTTATTGTTTACTCAGTAATTATTTTTTATTCTTGTCAATGTTTTCTTTTGAATCACTTTCTTTTGGTTCTTCTAATCCAATATTTGGAGTGAAAATCAAATATAAGCTTAATTTAGCCAGGTGTCTGTGGCTCACACCTGTAATTCTAGCTACTCAGGAGGCAGAGATCAGGAAGATTGAAGTTCGAGGCAAGCCAGGGCAAATAGTTCATGAGACCCTATCTTAAAAATACCCAATACACAAAAAAAGGGCTGATGGAGTGGCTTGAGGTATAGGCCCTGAGTTCAAGCCCCAGTACTCAAAAACTAAAAAAATAAAACCAAAGTGTCTGGAATGTGTGTCCTTCCTTCCATCCATGGTGTCACTAATCAATCTTACTAAAAGGCCAAGTCTCTTTTGTCAAAGTGTATTTACAATTTTGGGGGAAAATTGTACATTAATTTTTTTTGGGAAAAATATCTCATTTTCACCTGACTCAGAAAGACAAACATCACATGGTTTTGCACATATATGGAATCTAGACATAAAAAATAATATAACATGATTGTCAAAGGGGACTGTTTGGAAGAAGAAACTAGAAGGAAGGGAGAGGAGAAGGAAAGAAGAGTTGAGTGGAGTAATTATAAGACATCATGAATTATGAAAATAGCATAATGAAACCCATTAAAATTTGTTTTAAAAGGGGAGAATAAGAGTAATAGAGTGTATAAATATGATGACCAAAGTGCATTCTATGTATTATGGGAATATCACAATGTACAATTGGTATATGCAAATAAAACATTAGCTGGGTGCCAGTAGCTCACCCCTGTAATCCTATCTACTCAGGAGGCATCACGGTTTGAAGCCAGCCTCAGCAAAGAGTTTAGGAGACCCTCTCTGGCAAAAACCCCACACAAAAAAGGGCTGGTGGAGTGACTTAAGGTGTTAGGCCCTGAGTTCAAACCCCAGTACTGGAAAACAAAACAAAACAAAAAACAAACAGGAAAAAAAAGCTTAACTCACATTTCACATTCGACACTTTAAGATGTTCTGACAATTTGTTTTCCACTATCTGATTCTTCTTGATTTTCAAAGATCTCAAAGATCTTTGAAAGGTCTTATGCATTTTCTTGTCTTGACTCTACATCCTCTTCCCCACATCAACAACTTCATCCATCATCTCTGTGTAGACACCTCCCCTGTCTTCCTAATTTTACATACCCACTGCACCCTCGGACACTTGACACCCAAAAGCAGTATTTTAGACACTCCTTTGAAGCATACTGTTCGACTCCTAGAAGGTCTATTTTTGAATGGAGGCACCTGGCTCAAGGCCTGCTCTTCCCTGTGTCATTCTCTGAGCTCTTTCGGTATACTGCCAAGTTCTATTTCGCCTCATTGTTTGTTTTTTCTCTTTTCTATTCTCACTGCTTCTCCACTCACCCAGCCTCTATTGTACTGTAGCTGGATCACTGCACTGGCCTCCTAAACTGGACCCATGGTTCCAGCATTTCCCCTGCTTTCTCCTGGTCATAAACTTTCACTAATTCTGACTTTTCTACACAATAGGTTTTGTTAGCCTGGCATTTAAATTCCCCATGGGTTGGCTGTAAAGTATCATCTTTAAATCTTTCACCCTTAGGTTAGCCTGGCTCAAAAAACCAAAAATCGTATGTTCTCCCTCATATGTGGACATTAGATCAAGGGCAAACACAACAAGGGATTGGACTATGAGCACATGATAAAAGCGAGAGCACACAAGGGAGGGGTGAGGATAGGTAAGACACCTAAAAAACTAGCTAGCATTTGTTGCCCTTAACGCAGAGAAACTAAAGCAGATACCTTAAAGCAACTGAAGCCAATAGGAAAAGGGGAACAGGTACTAGAGAAAAGGTTAGATCAAAAAGAATTAACCTAGAAGGTAACACACACTCACAGGAAATCAATGTGAGTCAATGCCCTGTATAGCTATCCTTATCTCAACCAGCAAAACCCCTTGTTCCTTCCTATTATTGCTTATACTCTCTCTACAACAAAATTAGAGATAAGGGCAAAATAGTTTCTGCTGGGTATTGAGGGGGGGCGAGCGGGAGGGGGCGGAGTGGGTGGTAAGGGAGGGGGCGGGGGCAGGGGGGAGAAATGACCCAAGCCTTGTATGCACATATGAATAATAAAAGAAAAATGAAAAAAAAATAAATCTTTCACCCTTTACTAATCTTTGTGATGAATGTATTTTCCAGCCAAACTGAACTAGTCACATGCTCACTAAATCTACAGGTGTGAGGCACCAGCACCCAGTCTAAAGCAACATGCATATGTGTTTCTTTTTTTTTTTTTTTGGTGGTACTGGGTTTTGAACTCAGGGCCTCTCGCTTGTTAGGCAGATGCTCTACCACTTGAGCTACTATCTTATTCCAGCTCTTGTTTTTTCCTCCAATAAGCAAGCTCTCCCCAATATCTGGAGCATTAATCTTTGTCTTTCTTATGGCATATACCATTTCTTTTTTTGTTTTCGGCGGTCCTGGGGTTTGAACTCTGGGCCTCATGGTTACTACGCAGGCACTTTACCACTTGAACCACTCTGCCAGTCCTTTTTTTGTGTCTGGTATTTTCAAGATAGGGTCTCACAAACGATTTTTCTGGAGGCAGGCTTTGAACCAGGATCCTCCTGATCTCTGCCTCCTGAGTAACTAGATTTACAGGAGTGAGCCCAGCAGCATTTGCCATTTCTCAGCAGGTACGTCAGTTTCTTATGGGTCACCCTGATAATAAGAGCTTCTGGCACAGACTCTATTTACATTTTATTTTTGAAATGGGGTCTTACCCGGGCTGGTTTTAAGGACCTGGGTTCAAGAGCTCCTCTTGCCTCAGCCTTCCCAGTAAGTAGCTAAGACTACAGGCATGTACTACCATGCCCAGAAACACTACATTTTATATCCCCAACAATGCCCAGTGAATGGTGCTTTGTGCATGCCAGGTACTCAAGAAACACCTCTTGAGTCCTTGTAGACATGGCAAAGTTAGGAAAAGCTAGAGGAATCCAATCTCTAGCTTTTCTCTGGGGAGCCCGAGGTTGTGAGTTAAAACCTAGTGAAGGTCACCAGAATGCTTGTGTTTATCGACTCTGATGACTTAAGAGGAACTACGGGAATTGATTTATAAAGACTCTTCTAACTTAAGATTCTCCTCTAACACATACATGTTTTATCTTTCAACCATTATACTAAGAAAACATAGGTAAAGTCCTTATCAAATATTTTCTTTCCATTACATGTCAATAAAAAAAACTCAAGATTTAAATTCAAATAGGAACATTTGCCCTGCCCCATT